AATGGTCATGAAAATATAAAATACTAATGTTATTGGCATAAAAACAATTATGAGTGGATTTCAGGCAAAAAAAGACCCCTTTAAAAACAAAAGCATCAAACATGTCATGTATCCTTCTCCAGTACTGAGCAAAGCTTCAAGAGTGTGAGGTTTAGATAAATGAATGTTATTATCTTTTGCATGAGCATGAAAGCTCTGGAGGAGGATGAGCAGGTGCATTGAGCCGTGTGAGAGGAGGGGACGCAACCTTCCTGTGCCCTCTCTTATACTCCCTGAAATCTGGACACGCCGGCTCTCAACCCTCCTCTTTACAAACAGAATCTCCCCACAGGCCCAAGTCTTTCATGATAAGAGCACATAGCAGGACAGGGTGAAGGGAGGATGCTTGCATCTTTTGATTTAAGAGAGAGAAAGTTCTGCACTGAAAGGAAAAATACCAGTCCTTTGATGATCCAGCAAACCAAGTCTATTCATAAGCGTATCGATAGTGATGTGGGAACAGGACAGGATGGAGAGAGAGAATAATGTGGAAAGAGAGTAAGGAGTAGCGGGGAGGTGTGGGACTGTATAGATGTGGATACACCAAAAAAAAAATAAAAAAATTTTGCATTCATGAAAACTGAAGCCAAGTGCACGTAAAGGGACATGGAGGCCTACCTAAAGGCTCTCCCAAAGACTTCTTTGTCACCTCAGATGTGAATTCTGGGATTTCGGTGACCTCTGGAGGGAGAGAAAATGAATGGCTAAATCAGCAGTATGACAACCCATTCCAGCATTCAGAGTTCTGGAAAAAGGCTCAGCCACAGACGACGTGCCAATGGACATAACACTGGCTAGAGCTTGTAAAAATTGTCAGTTGCAATCTGATAATGAAAAATATATTTCAATTTTATCGGACTCCAGATTTAGGCACATGAAAAAAAAAAATCATGTGATTACCAGAAAAAAAAAACAAAAAACTTTTTTTTTTGTTGAAATTGGCGATTCATGGCTTTAAAACCTTGCTCAATAAAGTCTGGTTACAAAAAGGTGTTTGGTTACACTTTATTTCGATAGTCCACTTTAGACATTCTA